TCTGGAGCTCAAGCCAGGTAATATCTGTAAGAACACAATCTGAGCTAGGAAATACAGAATGTAACCCCAGGAGACAAGAACTTGACCTGCAGCACAGCTGTCACACTCCCCACTCACCCCTTTTATGCCCTCTAACAAATCAGCCCTCACTCAGGTACATGCCCACTGCTCTTAACTTGACATGCACTCAAGAGCTAAAAAGGAAACATTTAACCTGCTGTAGCTTTGTTGCTCAAGTGAAAATTTCCAATTCTGGATGTCTAGAGGAAGATTCCTACATCTGCATTTAGACATTTGATTTTCAAAGACACTAGAAGTCAGTGGACAGTGCAGGTGTTACATCTGAAACCAGGCCATTTTCATTTAGCTGTTGAAACAGCAAGATAATATCCTATTTTTACTCCCCATATTCTGAGGAATCTGAACCACCACTTCACACCATTTCCTCCTCATTTTCCACAGATTTGTCCCATTTTCTCTCTCACATCACTCCAATAATTTTCTCAGCTCTTGCCTTAACATCTGAAATAATAGAGCTCAGGTGATTTCTGTTTTGTTGTTAGGATGTTCTTCTCTGCCAGTCTTAGAGGATTATGTCCACCTGTCTTGGGGTGTCTATTCATTTAGCTATCTGCTCTCCCCTTCAGAGGCAGCTTGAGCCTCATCTTTGGTGCATGCATTGTCCCATCTTTCTTTAATCCAGTTGTTCTCTCTTTCTTCCTATTTTGATTCCCAGCCTCATTTTATTCCATGATGTCTACGTAGCAGAAAACCAGCAGCAGTTCAAAGAAGCAGGACAATGGACATTCATAGAGATGAAGAGATCCCCACCACCATCACCTGACAAAATGGGCATTATTAGAGCAGAGGAGGGAGTGCAATGCTTTCACACTGTCTAGTCAGAAAGCCTCATAATCAGAAAACACTAATATCAGAGAATCTGCCTCTCCACCACTTAAAAACAAGAGCAACCATGCTTCCTCCTAAGCCAACCAGGGAAACACACAAACTATACAGAGAAAGCAAACCTGCACTATGTGGTGACAAAGCTACTGCATGAACAGTCACATGCTACATGTTTTGTCCAACATGCCATGTGCCCACAACATCTAGTAACCAGTTCCATATTCAGCCCCATCAAAGCTGTCTCCTGAACCCACCTGCAGCCCTCCTGGCCAGATAACCACTGAATTTTTCATCTGGAATATACTGTTGTTGTATGGAGATACCAGGAGAGAAGAAACCTTGCTCTTTTAGGCAATTTAAGTCCCATGGAGGTTTTAAAAGCTGAGGTAGGCTTTGAATTAGTGGAAGAGCAATAAAGATAAAGCAGGATTGAGGAAAATGTGCTAACGGAAACTCTTTAGCAACACTGATGGGCCACTACTTTTTCTCTTTTCCTTGATAGTGAGCTGCTCAGAAAGCAAAGGGCATGCACCACCAGTCAAGAAGGGGAGACAAAACCTAACATGAGGAATGATTAATGTACAGTCCTGCAGCTTGCAAATGAAAAGAACAATCCTTTTATAGCTTCAGTAGGCTCTATTTTACAACATAATTTTAAAGCCCAGAGAAAAACATGTCATGGATGGCTTGTTAAGAAGCAAACACAGCACTAACAATTGTTCACTAATACACCTGTGATACCACCAACCCTCCAAGCAACAATGACCTGAGTGATCTTGAAATCAAACTATTTAAACAAGTGTGAGGACTTTTCTTATTTACATATAATACTAAATGAATTGTCATGGCTCTGTTTTCAGTACAGCAAGAGAAGACAACTCGACACAGTACAGAGGCTTTCACTTTTAAAAATGACACAGTATCGCCTAAGAAATCAAGTCTGCCAAACAGTTGGACAGATACAGTATATTTATTTTCTTTCAATGCCCATATATACGTATCAAACACAGGAACTCAGAGCCTACATATATACGTACTCATATGTACATGCATAACCACCAAATTGTGGGAACCTGCTTTTGATCATGATCTTGTGAAGGTGCTTCTTAAAGTCAATCATGTTCTGCTGATTAATTGAAACCAAGGCATGCTACCTTTTGAAACACAGAATCACCACACAGCCTAAGCCAACAAAACAATGAAGCCTTTACTTATCACAGAACTGTAGAGGTCAAGATAAAAGTGTCACGTATGGAGAAAGTGATTACAGCTTCTCAGAGGATGTTTCTGCCTGAGGTGAGGTAGCAGACACATCCTCAGATTAAACTTTTATCAGCAGATCCCTGTATTTCATCAATCTTTCATTACTGCACAGCTTAGAGAATCATCTGGTCAGGTGTCATTAGAAAACCTCTTCATCTTCCAAAGCAAAAGCTACCCGAGTAAATTACTATTAAGCAAAACAGAGTTAAAGAGGAGGGCCTGCAGATTGTTATGGGGTTCTTTAAGCTCAAAATAGAGGAAAATACACATTTTACAGTATTTTAAAATTGAAACACTGCCTTTCACAACAAATCCAATATATTATAGAGGCTCTTGGGCCAGAAGATGCAGCTAATTAAATAAATTGTGTGCAACAACTTCTGGAAGAGCTTCATCCCAGAAACCGTGATTTCATCAACTTCCTGGACAATTCATCCATCCAAGCAGCAATGTGATCCCCTCACTTTTCTCTGATGATGGCAAACTCATGGAAAGCTGCTTTGCAATCAGTGAGTGGCTCTGGTGTTTCTCACCTCAGGACCAATAGGTAATCTTACCAGGATGAGCCCAAGTACTGCATGCTAATGTATACATGAAAAGAGATGCCGTGCAATTTCCAGCTCAACAGTATGGTTTTCTCAGCTTGGGTTCTCCTGTCACCAAATGCTTTTTTTCTTGTGTGTCAGTACTTCTTCAGCAAATGCTACATCATTTATGCTACCCTTCAAAGCATGTTTCCTATACTGAACCTCTCTATGCCCAAATGACATTGTACATCTGATTACTCAATCATAAATTCGTTCTTTCAGCTTGTCTTTTGGATCTTCTGCTATTTACTATCACATCCAGTCTGAGTTTAGTTACAAATAATGGCTAACTCTTTTCCTAGTCTTTTTATTTTATTTTTAATGGGTCAATAAAGTTAAATTTCAGTAAGAGTGGGCTCCAGCCCTGACTGGACACAAAATTTCTGTAGAAGCATTTATGAAAATACTTGAGAAAGGCTAAGAACAGGAAAGCTCTGAAATCAAACTGATGATAAAAAAGTAGATTTTGGTAGAAGCAACTAAGAACATCACTGTGTCAGCAAATGAAATATTAAGGCTGGTATTGATTGTGTATTTATATATTAAACCTTCAATAAACTATTTCTTGCTGTTATTCACAGCAACCAGTCAAGACAAGTCATGTTCTCTAGCAGCAAGAAACATGGATGTTTCTATGACCAGTTCTGTCTTTAGGAGCAGAAGGTACCCAGCCTGGAGAAATGTGACTCGCATATTTTACAGACAACATAATGGAATGACTTTATTTTCCAAAGAAACATAAATATTGGGAAACAGACCTATAAATACTCTAAAACAATTAACAAAGAGCGAAGTTGACTTCCCTTATCCTGTAAAGCTGCATCACATTTAGGTGCCCCTTTATGAGGCTCCATTTCCTGACCAAAACAAGCTACTACAAAATGTAACTTGAAGAGAAATGTGTACTGCACTCATTTTCCAAGGCAAACAAAGCACTGTAAGGGTTTATTCATAAGAAGTTAAAATCTTTTTACTTCTCACCATTTCAAACTGGATTTGCCCCTTTCAGATCTCTCAAAAATCTGCACAAATGAAAGTGAAATACAGTAAAAAAAGAAAACAAAATAAACCATCAGTCATTTACAGAAGTAAAAATATAGAAAGATGGAACTGGGTCACCTTTCCTTTTGGAAATTTGGCCAGAGATAACCAGAAACTTGGTGGGGGGGGTGTATGTGTGTGTATGTGAGAGAGATTAAAGAAGCTTCAGAAAAGCTGGGAAAGATTTACTCCGGTCTAAAATGTCATTTTCCATCAAAAGTCAGAGACAAACCCCCCTCAAAAAAACCTGACCTTATTACTGCAAATATCTCAATAATCAAACATGGACACAGACCACAGCAGCTCATTAACGTTATTCAATTCTTACTACCCATGTATCAGGATGGATACTGCCTGAAGAACCTGGAATTACTCAATGTGAATGGCAATGGTTTTGATACATCAAAATGCTCAGTGAGGCAGGGAGACAGTTCGCTGTCCTGCTCCGTGTCAGTCACCTTCACAATCCTGCTCCCACAGCAATGTTATATGACAAAGAAGGATGTTACCAAAAGATGATGGGTCAGGAAGGAACATTAAGGAAAGACTACCTCCAGGGCAAGAAGGCCTTTAGCATACGCCCATGGTTGCTCCCTGTGGCAGGGAAGAACTTCAGCTCACAGGCAGTCAGGTTTCAGGGACAAACCTCAGTTGTCTGTACACCCTTCAGAATTGTCTTACATCAAGATCTTTAAGCAATAGTTATGGCTTAAAAACATTACTTTTCCCTCAATCTTACTTTTTTCTCTGTTAAATCAAATATCTCAAGAAAGTAGAAAACATGCATAGAATCAAAATAGCACATTTAACTTGGACCAGCAGGAAGGCATTCTTTCGCATAGCCAGAAGAAACATACAAGGGGACATATTTGAACACATGGTTTTACATTAAACAAGTATTATATAAATCCCTAAAACAAAATAATGTTGCATGTGCAGTTTTATGCACCCCGATGAAATAATCTGATAGGCTTGCTCAGTATAGGTTTATTAAACAGCACGTAAGTGGTGCACCATGAACAGGAGAGATCTAAAAAAAAAAATGCCAGCAAGCAAAAGAAGAATTTACCCACCTCCTCCTAGCCCCTGGGACACAATTACTCAAACAAAAGAACAGGTTTGATCCTTGCTTCAGGTGCATGTGTATTTTCTATCAGCAGCCAGAAATAGGACCAAGTCAAGAGGGATAAGGAGAGCAAAGACTCACCGGCCGTTGTCACGCCCCACGCCCCAGACTCTGATGCTCACAATGGGCTGCGAATGAAGAACTGTGCGGTCCATGGGATCGATCAGGTTCAGCATGTCATTTTCCAGTATAAGGTACATGTCTTTGCCCTGCAACCCCAGACAAAGTACAGTTACACAGTACATCCCCCTCTCAAACTGAGATCAGTGTGTGTTATGCCTATGCAGTTTAGACTTGCTTAATTTACTCTAAGTTTCCATTTGTTCCAAGACTAATTGAAAACAAGTTCATCTGCTTCTGGTGTGAAAAAGATCCAAGAGGGTGTCTTGCTACCACTATATTTTTAAACGATCCCAAAAAGCTTTGATGTCTTTTAACTGCAACTGCTTGACTCATTCAACCCCAAGTTATTCAACAAATTATGCGTTTACCATTCTCCAGTAAATTCTTTCAAACATATGAGAAGTCAAGAACTGTCTTAATAGTAATAGCTTACATCAAAACCTGTACTCTGGAGGCAGAGTTTCTTCCTTCAAACAATGTGTTTTGTTTCCATAAACCTTAACTAATGGGTCATGGGAACAGACAGCAATTTGTACATGTCAAGGATTTATAGAATACTCTTTGAAGAAACATTAATTAAAGGGGAAAAACCTAGCATTAAGACACAAATGTGAATTCTGCCAGTGACTGCAGAATCCTGGAGCCAGGATTTGTCCCTAATTCTTCTCGCATGTAAGAACAAGGAGAAGGCTTTTTCCCCTTAGAGGAAACAAATTTATAGAAGCAATTTTTTCTTTTGATGCTAATTCACAAATGCTAATCTTCCTCCTATACCTAGTATTTGAAGAAGGTCTGCTACCTCTTTTATCATATCTAATAGCTCTCTTCTCAGGGACTGTACACCTACTATGCAGAACACAAAATCCCACAAAAATCATGTAAGTCTATTGCAAGATGTAAGACAAGCTCCTGCTGATAAGAAGGTAAAAGCTATCAGCTAGATACAGAGTAATTTATTTCCTTTCTATTGTGCCAGAATCTATAAATGAACATGAAGCATGGAAAGGGTCTGACTTCCTACTGACAAACGTTTCAACAACTACCTTTTTCTTCACCTCAGTGACACAGAAACTCTCTTCCCGCTTGGTTACAGTGGCTCGGATCTTAACGACATCTAATTTTGTGTCTAAGACATACATTCACACCACCCTGGGATGGCCTGCGTCCAGGGTTTCCAGGCTAGACAGCAAGGAGCGGGCACTGCTGATCACCTCGCACCCCCAAATCTCCTAACAGGGATTCAAAGGGGAACTGTGACACAGAGCTGGTAGCGCAAGCACTGAGAGGGGTTATGCAGAGGTAGGGGACATGGGCTGGTTATGCAGTGCCAACACAAGAACATTTTGCCTGACGAAAAAAGTACAGCTGTAGCTGAGATGCAAGGCTGGATACAAGGGCTGCTCCTAGAAAAGCAGAAACAGATGTAGCTGCTATAACCATGCATGGAAATGGTCGAATCAGCAGCATTGAGATGCTTGTGGCATACAGAAAGAAAAACATGGGTGATAAAAAACAAAAGCCAGGATGACACCAGGCAGGCCAGGATGGCTAAGGAAACCAAACAGAAAACAGTCATCACAAAGAAAAAGGGTGAGAAATCTGCTCAGAGAACAGAAGCAGTAAACAGATTGTGTGAAGAATGTTACCAAGTGTCACAAAGATTGCTTTTTGGACCCATTTTCTACCTATGTATTTGTTCCAGAATGAAATTATTAAAAGAAAGTAAAATCTGTTCATTTTCAAAATACACTGGGATTAGGGTAATAAAACTGAATACAACTTAGCTGGAAAAGATTGGAGAATAGGCAGATAAGCAACATAAATCGTAGGAAATTATCCTTGCAATGCTCAAGGGGTAGCTTGGCCGCAGTCAGAAGCAATATATTTTGCTATGTTTTGTTGCCTTATTGTACAAAAGCTATTTTAGAGATAAAACCACTGTATAGGGCAAGAAGAAATTATTTAGACAGAATGGGAGCTTGAACATGGGCCTCAGTGTCTCAGACTCCTGGAGAGCTGCAGGGACCTGATGGTCCAAGATGAGGAAAGGGAAGAGCCACATGGAGAAAGTGAACAACGAAGGTAGGCTCAACCCCAACAGTCCTTGACGGAAGTGTTATAAATGGCAGCATATAGGTCGATGGCAACAATGATCCTTTTTCATGTAAGTGAATTTGTAGTATACATGAATAGAATGCATGGTGAAGTGGCAACACAAACAGATGAGTTTTTCTTCTTAGATTTTACTACAGAACCATGGAATATAAGAACTTACAGGGAATTTCTTTTGGAAGGGAGCAAAGGGCATGAAATCCCACCTTAAAGCCAGTGACAAAGCTTCTGCAACAGGGTCAGTGTTTTACTCAGGGTGTGGGGTTTTTTGTGTTTTGAAATCATGAGAACTTGGGGATGGTCCCAGCACAAATTTCACTTTCACTACATTCCAGCTAAAATAAATCTTTAGCCAATCTTAAAACTGTCTCTGCAGTCATCAGTTCTAGCT